CCCCAAAACCCCAAAACCCCAAAACCCCACGTTTATCAAATAATTATCTATATTTGCAAGTATTATTTTAAATCCAAATATCAACTATTTTATCATATATGTATATTTCACAAGAACCCCTAATATTATCAGTAGAGTTTATTGTTTCCAGCAAAACTTCCACTGCTTTATAGAAATTTAGCTGCTGATTAATCGAAGTACCCACTATTGTAATTATTTTCAGTTAATCCAGTACCAGTTCCTATCACATTAAATACTGAATTGTATTCACTTATAAATTTAGGCTGAGATGAATAATTCACGAATTCATATCCTGGGAAGGCTATCATTGCTTAATTCTTATCAATTAGGATTAGCTTGTTGCCCTTGGGATTCCATTTAACCTTTTGAACTGAAAATGTCACCAAAGCAGAGCTTAGACTCCCACTATCTCCATTCAAGTCATAACAAGCAGTTGATTAAGGCGACCATGAGAAGAACCTAGCCTGTCCAGTAGAAATGCAGAGTTAATGAGTAGTTGGACCAAAGTTAATATGCTTGACTGGGTTAAGATGAACAAGCACTGAATGAAGCTCTACAGAGGACATTTCCCAGACATATATCACATTCGGGAGTTAATCACACTTAGTGGCAAGGTACTTAGAATCATGACTCCAAGCAACGAGTGATACACCTGTGGGTGGACCCTGAGTCCCAACCTTTTCAAATTAACTAGTTGTAAATGCAGATATCTCCTTTTTGTTAATCATCGGGAACTTCTCAACTGTCAATTCTTGGCCATCTCTATGTGCTTGAGTCACTTTATATTGAAAATACTGTTTCTCATTGTTGGCATATGAGCCAAGTTACTCTGTAATTTAGGTCTCTCTATAAATCAAAACTCTATTATATTCTGCTTATGCAAAGCTTATTTAGGAGGTGTGTTCAAATGAAACAATCTCCCTCTAAGAATAAGCGTTGAATATCCTAAGCTTAGTATCGAAAAATGCCACTGTCATAAATATACCATTCGGAGACAGCTAGACTGATTTAATGCCAAGCCCAGGACCGCTACTTAGGTTATGCTTAGCAACGACCTCTCCAGTCATTGCAGAGTAAATTATTAATTTTGACTCTAAAGGTGTGTCATAAACAAGAATTGAGGTATCCTCTTTTGCCCACATTAGGTCAGTCAAGTCAAAGGTGTCTACTTCAAAGGTGTTTACAAGTTTCCAGTCATTTCCAGTGTAGTAGATTGAGATCCAGTCCTTTGCATCTCTCCTCTCTGCTAGTGCCATAAATTTTTTATTCTAGGAGAAGCTTATACCCTTTGGGGGAACATGCTTAGGACTTCTAATATATGCTGTGGCTCTTTGCTCTACAAGTGACCAAACTGTAGCCCTTAGCTGAAGATCTGAGAAAGTAAGGATTTATCTGGAATCAGGTGCCCAAATTTAGCCTGCAAGCCCTATAACTCCTTCCTCTATCTTACCAGTCCAGCCTTCTTGTTTGCTTTGAATAACATCTGGGTTCAGGCATCTCAAATGAATCTAGTTTTATTTAGCAAGGACAGCCATAATGAAATTATCATCTGGAGACCATTCAATGCTGGTGATCACATCTTTAAATACAAATTTATCTCTTACTGATAGCTTCTCTGTTTCGAATATCTATATAAGGTTGAAATATGTTATGGATTGAATTAAGTGTATTACATATAACTCTTGGGATTTAGCGATTGCCAGTAGGTTGCCTTAATTTGAAAAATGGCAGGCTGATTGTGGGATTGGATCTGAAAAATTCATATTTTAAATTTCAATTATCTTTATTATTTGATTTCAATTTGCCTTTGATAATTACCTATCGGGGTTTTGGGGTTTTGGGGTTTTGGGGTTTTGGGG